CAACACAGGCCTGTGTGCCTGTCAGTAGAACTTTATAGACTGGACATGGAAACATGGAAGAGTGGGTTTAGAAAGAGCAAGTCAATGAGAGGGAGAACTTGTCACTCGGAGAAGGACAACACTTGTAAGGAAGTATTAGTAAATAAAGGCAGAAAATCACAAGATTTTTGTTTTCAAAGACATCAATCTCACCTGCTCTCTAGACTCAAATCCTAACTTAAATCTTCAAGGGAAGATTTAAGAGATCCTGATCAAGTTTTCACAATGTCAGCCTACTTTTCACTTTTCTGCATGTGTGTCCTGGTACCTGAGTAAACTTGGGTCTGCCTTAAGAGATCACTGAGTGCTTCCTTAGCTTCAAGATAGTTCAGACACAACCACATCAGAGAGCTGAGAGTTCTCAGCTTTTAAAGAGAGTTACAGAGCTTTAAAGGGATCACTTAAGAAGAATGAGCTAAGTAGAGCTACAGTCTCATTAAGTAGATCCATTCTGATGAATAAATTTCTCCTTGCCAGAAAGTTCCCTTCTTCATCTAACTTAAATTCTTCAGGCTGTATTTAAAATGCTTTGTTTCTTCTTACAAAGACCTGGAAGAAAATTAGAGGTAAACCAGACCTCTTGTCTTGCTCTGCCTTCTGGCTGTGTCCTATAATTCTCTACATTTATGCTGAGATCTAGTCCACCAATGTGATATGATACTTACTTTTCTTATTCTGGGAATGACACACTGACCCATGTCAGCTACCACCCATCATAGAAGGCCAAATTACGTTATTACCATGGTCTAGTTTTATTTAGATTCTTGTAGAACTCAGTGACACCTCTAGCAGTAATTACAACTTTTCCAAATCATCCCTTCCCTGTCTTTTCTAAGGCAGACCCTCTACTATCTTTTATGATCAAAACTTCTCTCAGCATTACGATCAAATCTTTCCTCACTGTTATCTTTCTCCCCCTTTTTCCTTTTCTCCTCAGTTTTCTCTGAATTATCCACAGGGACAGCAAGCACCTTTGGTCTAAACTTGATCTGGAACACCCAGTACCCTAAATCTCTTTTCATCTTTCCCTACTCTAATTGATGCCTCCATTTTGTGATTGCATTCAATTTGCTTACTTTATGCATAAATTGTTATAATAATTTATGAATTTATCTTCTATGCTTGGTGATGTTACAATGTTACCCAATCCCTCTCTATTTTCAATTTAGCTACCAAAAACTCCTGCATAAATCTCACATAAATCTGTAAGGTTTCTGTGTTGTACAAGTTGTATTATTTTTCAGCCTCCTCCTCCGCCTCCTTCTTCCTTTTCCTCTGCCTCCTTCCTCCTCCCCCCCCTTCTTCTTCTTCTTCATTTGAGAGTACTGGGACTAGTGCCAAGAGTTGGTGCTCTATCAGTTGAGCCACACCTTCACTTCCAGCTTTTTGTTTGTTCATTGCAGAAAAGAGTTTTGAAGATTTATTTGCCTAGACTGGCTTCAATCAGAGATCCTCAGATCTCTGCCATCTAAACAACTAGGATTATAGACATTGCCACCAGCTCCTAGTGTCAGCTCTTTTGATCCTTTAAAAAAATTTTACTTTTGCCAGTACTGGGGCATGAACTCAGGACCTGATTGCTGTCTCTTAGCTTTTTCCACTCAAGAATGATACTCTACCACTTGAGCCATGGCTCCACTTCTGGCATTTTGCTATGTAATTGGAAATAAGAGTCTCACGGGCTTTCTTGCTCAGGTTGTCTTTGATCTGTGATCCTCAGACCTCAGCTTCCTGGGTAGGAAGGATGAGCCACCAGCGCCTGGCATCAAAACCTGTTTTTTGTCCTTTTTTATTTCATGTCTTCAGCAAAGTAGGTCTATGTTGTTTTTTTCTCATGTGCAAATTCACCCAGGGAAATGTGTTTAATTGTTCCGGGTCTCTTGAAATGAGGAAACTGAGACTCAAGGAAGAAAATGGCTAGGAGAAGTGATTTTCAATGTGCTCCTCCCTTCCAAGGGAGGAGTTTCTTTTCCTTTTCCGGTTGCTATCTCTCTACATTCTTTGTACTTTTGACCCACTTCCATGGAATGAGTTGATAAAATATAGCCCCAAATTTATTTTTTAATATTGTACCTTTAGGTTATGTACATAGTCCGTTGGTTGACTGCTACTCATTGTAAATGATCTTACCAGATAACCTATCGCTCCTTGCTAAAGCAAGTGGATTTCCATTAGGATCGATATGGCATTGTCTCTAGCCATGGTCACCATAAGGAGTGGCTTTCTTAGATGTCTTTCTCTAGTGAGTGCTGGGATCTTCTTTCCTCCTGGCTTTCTGTTCTACCCCTTTTCTGCCTGTGTCTGATGTGCTTTACCGGCTATGGGCAACGGCTCCTTTGACCGCCAGCTGCCTATAGGATCTTCTTGTCCCAGTGTTTGGGGGGCCCATTTCAAACAGTTTTCTCTGCCTGTCCCCAGCAAACCAAACAAACCAGGCATTTCCCAGAGTCATTAAAGTTCACAATTCTGCAGTTCCTGTTTTTTAAACTTCATCTTGAAGGGAAAAGTAGACTTAAAATCATGTCTCAGGTGGCAAGAAACAAGGAGAGGAACCTCCAGGAAGTGACAAACCCACTCCAATTTCAAGGGAACACCACACTGGGTATAGCATGGACTGGGAGCTCAACACTGGATGAAGGCTAGACAGTCCAGGGAAACGGCCACCAATGCCAACTAAGGCGGAGCCTCAGCCAGGACTGTCACTCATTGGAAGGTGAATAGGATGAGGTACGTAGGATATTTTTCTGGTACTCATGACCATGACCTCTTATCTATACCAAGTGAACTTCATATTCCTCTCTACTCTCTAGGAATCAGTCTGACTTTCAGTTCCCTAAAGGATGCCCACGCCATGCGGACTCCACAGAGGCTCCCCTAGTTGCTGTAAGGATTTCATTGCAAGCCCTCTACTTTCCGTACAGAAACCAAGCCAGCATCCTAACTCTAATTCTGGGCTCTCAGGACATTATGGGGTCCATGGATAACTTCTTTTGGCTCTTGGCCCTCAAGCCCATTGCATGCTAAGAACATCTCAGACTTGTTTGTAGCAGCTCTTTGTGTCCCTGTTAAGTGAGGAATCAATACTCATTACAGTTAAGTGCTTCAGGGATTAAACTAATGAGATAACCCAGGGGCACTTTCCCAACATTAGCTCTTCACATGTCTTCCACCTCTGCAAGTTTTTCTTTCTTTCTTTCTTTTTTTAACCATTTATTCATTATTAGCTTCATGTTGTTATTTAAGTTGACCTTTTAATTTATAAGTATGTGTATTTACTAGGAATGTGTGTTAAATAATACAGCACACAGAAAGAGCAGAATCACTTGCCCTATTCAAAAGATAATCTTTAAAATAAGCAAACCAAAATAAAGCATGCTCATCTGCACCCTAATTTTTGAGAAATCCTGAAATTATGTCTGTGATCTTACAGAGGGGATGACCCACAAAGGTTAATTTTCTTCCTCTTACTTCCTTTCCACAAGCCTTGCTATTGCCTAATAAAAACTAATAAACTCACAAATATACTGGTTCTCTGGGTTCCTTATACCAAATAGCTTTAGTCCTATTTTTGTGACATTAATTGCATTGCTAGGTTAAAACGTATAAAGAACTATTATGCCCAACATTAACTTCATTTCTAAGACACATGGTACCGTGCACAATGTGTTTCCTAGTGATAGCATCAGAATATCCTTTATTTTTTATTATTATTTATTTATTTATTTATTTTTGTTGGTCGTGGGGCCTGAACTCTGGCCCTGGTTGCTGTCCTTGCGCTGTTCAGCTCAAGGCTAGCGCTCTACCACTTGAGCCACAGCACTACTTCTGGCTTTCTAGTGGTTTATTGGAGATAAGACCCTCATGGACTTTCCTGCCTGGTCTGGCTTTGAACCGTGATCCTCAGATCTCAACCTCCTGACTAGCTAGGATTACAGGCGTCAGCCACCTGTGCCTGGCAGGATATCTTTTAGAAAGACAAGTTGTAGGGCTTATGTGGCTGATCCGCATCCAAATAGTGTACCTCTTTATACCTTGGCATTCTTTCAGATGCTCTTTGACGTAAATGAGTGCTCTCAATATCACACCTTTATCTTCTCTCTTCTAAACAAGTAGACATTCCAAGGAGTCAAGGACTCATTAGCTTATGAGAACATGCCACAGTGGAACGAAAACTAGTCTTTTAAGTCAGAAACTGAGTTTAACTCTGACTCCATCATTTGATGTTGGTTAACTCAATGAGTTCCTCTGGGCTTCTCTCTTCTTCCAGTAAAATGGGAAAAACAGTTTTCCAAATATGAATGGTAATATGTGTAAATTACCAGTGGAGTGATTTGGCATTGTTCCAGTCCAATCCTTTTTTGAAAAGGAATATGAATGTTTGCTAATTTGGATAACCTACATTTCTCTGAAATATTTTGAATTCAAATTGTTTAATATTTGCCAAACGTTTACTAATTTTCCATACAGTCGAATTATTTGAACAAGGTTGTAGCAGGTGCAAAAGGAGTATGGGCTATTCAATCTTCTATTTCTACTTACATCTGACCTTTAACAAGTAGAGAGTCTAGGGATAACATATTTGGCCAGGGGAGGCTCCTCCTAACTAACCCTTAGCTCTAAAGAAAAGTCACCTTGTTGTTACAGCACAAAGAATGTCCATAAGATTTGATATTCATTCAAATGCACTGAGGAAAGAGGGAGTAATGGAGACACACACCCTATAGCAGAGCGATCCTCAACTCTACCACTCTCTGGCCTATGACTGTTTCTCTTCTAACATGCAAGAGGACCTCAATCTGCCTATGTCCACATTGTACTTCCTCAACTTGACCACTGAAAGAAACAGTGGGTAAAATGTCTCATGATCCCTGATCACTGCTTTGGAAGGATACTAGGCAATAGTAGTTTTGTAAGAACGGAGCATGTGCCATCCTGAACGCTGCCAGGATAAGCCCACTTACCCATGCTACGATCACTCTTGGAATTCTGCTGTCCTCCCGAAGTGGTGGAAAGGTCTTCGGGGACAGGCATGGGTTCATCACCATCATCTGGAGTATCACTGACAGGGGGACTTTCCTTTCCTGCAGAGAAAAGCAGGGGTGTGAGGTTCTACTAGTCATTGGCCCTAGAAGCCCACATGTCCAGGCCTCACTTGGGCAGCTAGAGAAAGCTGCAGGAGAAGGTGGTTAAGTAGACTGAGCTGATGTTTCCGGGTTGGGACCAACTCATATTTTTTCTTGCAACATCACTGCTCAGGCATCAGTGGCTCAAGCCTGTGATGCTAGCTATTTAGAAGGCTGAGATCTGAGGAGTATGGCTCAAGCCTGTGATGCTAACTATTCAGAAGGCTGAGATCTGAGGAGTGTGGTTCCAAGCCAGCCCAGGCAGGAAAGTCAGTGAGAATCTTATCCCTATTAACCACCAAAAAATGCCAGAAGTGGAGCTGTGGCTCAAGCAGTAACATGCCAGCCTTGAGAAAAAAATCTCAGGGACAGTGCCTAGAGTTCAAGCCCCAGGACTAGCACAAAAATAAAAACAAAAAAATCCCTGAACATCATTGCCCTACCCAAGTAAACAAACATGAGAGATAAAAATGTGTGAAAGAAAAGCAAAAGCAAAATAACTGTGATCCACACAATCCTACTATTAAAATTACAATATGATACATGCACATATATGTATTTATATGTATCTACATATTATGTAGTAGCATATTATTTTTCAAAATAAGCTATGTTTGGTACCATCGTTTAGCTTGGCCTTGTACTCTATCTGGGCTTTTTTTTTTTTAACTCATGGCTGGTGTGCTACTTCTTGAGCCATATCTCCAGTATAGCATTTTCCTGATTACATGGAGATGGAGATGGAGTCTATAAGAATGACTTTTCTGCCTGGGATGGCTTTAAACCATATCTTTTAGGTCTAAGCCTCTTGAGCACCTTGGATTACAGGGGTGAGCCACTGGCATCTGGCAAAATAAGTTAGCGTTTAGACATTCGCATTGACATTATTTCTCTGCCCATTCTTCCATAATTTCATTTATAATATATACATGATGATTTATTTGAATTCTACTTGTCAACTTATATATTGTCTTCCATCATTTTTTCTTCATGACCAAACTATTGTTTGTTATCACTGAACATTCTTCTAGCCAATCTGTGCATATCTTTAATGATTGTTATCATAAAAAATCTTCTCCAGAAATTCAGTGGCCAGGTCCAAAGACACCTATGTTAAAAAAATATCTCTTCACACATTCTAACAAAATTTCTCCTATATGTCATTTCCCACTTATTCCCCACAAATTTGCTTGTGCTGGGTTGTGTTTGAGGACTCTGATAGGATCTCTTACTCGGAGCTACACAGGCTGGGTCTTTTTTTGTCTCTCCAAGATCCAGAAGCTCTTTTTCCAGTTGTATAGTTGACTTAACCGAAGAAGGAGCAGCTGCTTGGGGAAGGTTGAAAAGGGTCCTGTGGCCACTGCAGAAAAAACCCTATTCCTGCATGCAAAGGTCTGTCACCATGAGTTCTCTTGGAAATAGGAATAAACTACAATCCATATAAATACAAAGGTTACTTATGCTTCACCAAGTAGTATTTGCCAAATAAAATTAGGTCTTAAAAAGTACCATCTTTATTTTGAATGGGTTACAATTAACTTTGCTGGTACGCGTAGGAATGAGAACTACTGTTCTACTCGAGGAATCCAATGTTGGGAAAATATAACATGGTTCCTTCCCATCGAAGCTGAAAGTCCTAAAGCTTCTGTTCTTCTGGAGTTAACTTAAACTTGAGTTAGGAGATACAAACCACATGTGAGACACAGCTGGTGAGGACTTAAACCATGGAAACCAATCCAGGATTGATACATGAAGAAGAGTTAATGCCAAGATTCTTATAAAGTTCCAGGGCAATGAAAGATGTAATTGTAGGTGCCTCACAAGCTGACAGCTCAGCACAACAGACAAGATGATCAACCCCTGTAGATGACCTCCTGACTTCTGGGAGAGCATATAAATGACAAATCAGTTGTAAAAATGTCTAGAAAATGTGATGAAAACTCATGTACCATTTCTCTATTGGTCTGAATAATAAAACTCCTATAAAAATGACACCAACATTTTAGGTGACTGGCAAGTAAAATCACCCCCAATGTATAAAAGAACCTTTACTGGAATCTTTAAAATAGAATCTGCCCAAGTACAGAGAAGGTGCTTTGGGGAATAGTATTACATTCTCTAGGAAACAGACATTACGATATAATATTCCAGCTTAGCTGTAATTAGTGCAATTGGCATATTTTCAGAGAGAGCATTATTGAGTATATTTGGATAGCCAATACAAGATAAATAGTTAAAGATAGGGCAGGATTATAAGAATTTCCCAAGGAAAAGCAAAAGGCCAAAGAGAAATTGATCGAAAGGGCTCATGTTACACTAAAACTTGGGCATGTGCATTGTCAGTGCTGGTTTCATTGTCCTAAAATAGAAGACTTTAAAAGTATCAGGAGCTGGGCACTAGTGGCTTACGCCTAATCCTAGCTACTCAGGATGCTGAGATTCGAGGATTGCAGTTTGAAGTCAACTCTGGCAAGAAAATCTGTGAGAATCTTATTTGTAATCATTCACCAAAAAGCTGGAAGTGGAGCTGTGGTGCAAGACCCAAAGCTAAGGGACAGTGCCAAGGCCAAGAGTTCAAGCCCTAGTACCGTCACACACACACACACACACACACACACACACACACACACACACACACAACACACACACACACACACACAATGCTTTGTGACATTACTGCATAGAGATGACAACCTCTGTCCTAAGAAGCTGGTCCATGGCTCAACTTATACAGAGCACTCTGGTGTTCACATCTGTCCTGGAATTCATCACCTCTTATTGCTAGAGAGTAAATGTAATCTTTTTCATGAATATTTTTATGATTATCTTCCCAGTAATAACTCTGGAGTTCACTATGATGCTCTGAGGCTTTGTAGATGCCATGGTACATGAGGACCAAGGGAGGAATGTGTAGGATCAGGACTTAGCCAATAAAGGGATGCTATAGTTTGGGCTCAAGTCATGCTAAAATACATCTGAGTAGCTCTCAATTTCCTGTTTATTTTTAACTTAACTGATCTAACAAATTATTTCCCAGTAATTTATTAGGAAACAATACCAACTAGAGATTGTGGAGGAGCTTCTATCAACAGATGCGCCTCTTAAGAATGCTATCTGTCTCCAGTTCTCACCCTAAAATGTCAGCTCTTAAGTGTCCCTGATCTTGTATCTTGATATTTATTTATTTATTTTCTACATAGAAGAAAGAAAGAGTAATGAGAACAGTAGGGATTGTGATTCTAAAATCATGATCAATAGAACCTCTCAACGCAGAAGAAACCACACGGGGAGAAGGGAGAATAAAAAGTTAGCCTCCTTATGCATAGTGGAATGGAGGAAAAAGTCAGACCCAAATGGAGCCAAGTTGGTTGCACTCACATTCCCGCCAAGTGCTGAGACTTAATTCAGCTTTTTCTTGCCTTAGCGCACTGATGGGTCTTAAGAGATCCTCTGATTTGCCTAAAAGCCCCCTAGTGTGAGTTGTGGTTGCTGAGACTTTAACCACTGATGTGTGTCCTTGCCTAGGGATCTACATTCCTTCACTGCTGGAAGATATCCAGGATGCAAGTTTATGCTTTATGAAAACTTTCATGGTGGGTGAAATGGTTTATATGCTGACTTTGAACACATTTACCCCATCTACCATTTAAAATGTGAAACCACACAAAGATAACAGAAGATTAAAAAAACACACACACAAAACACCAAATATTCAACCAACACATCCAAAATACAAATTGCACTGTAGTGCATTGCTGTGGTGTGAAATTTAGGTCTAGATTGACCCTTCTGCAAGAGGGAAAAATAACATGGCTCATGTCTCTATTCAAGTGTGATGAAATGCTAAAAAACACAATGTTTGCCTAGCTCAGAGGATTGGGGGAAAATATAGCAATAATGACTGAATTTTCATATAGCAAATAAACATATGGTATTATTTAGTCAGCTGTAACATACAAAAAAACATGTATAGTACCAAATAGCCACCTTTCCCTAAGAGCATGCATAATGACATGTAAATACACATAAGTAGACATTGTAAGACAGCAAATATTTAAGTTAAATGGAATGCTTTAGAAGATGCAAGAAGATATCCCTTGTTTAGAGTAATGAAAGGAAGTTCTGGCTAATTTACGAATATGCCAATTTATATTTAACTCACTATTAAATCTTATAAATAAAGCACTACCTATGAGAAGTTTTTATGGGAAAACTAGATGAGAAATTCTATCATTAGCTTATCAATGATTTCTGAAGTAGATTATAGCTCACCCAACAAAGTTCTGGCACAACTCCATCCATCTCAAATGCATGAGTTTTAAGTATACATAATTACTCAAGGGACCATAATTCCTGGAGTAAATAAAAGCAGTATGAATATAGAACCTTTGTTCTATTATAAAAGTGTATGACAGTTACAATCTAGGCCTTACAGCCACAGACTAGATCTGACCATACTCTAGAGCCAACTCTGGCTTTTTGGGATTTCTTGTCAGTTACTTTAATTATCTAAGTTACTTAAGTTATCTAAGGCTCAGATATTTGTGATTTGGAGATAACTGTATCCTCTTCAGTGGGTCTTTATATAGTAGAAATGAGAAAATACTTAGGGCAATGTTTGGCTGATTCAAAGAGTTCAATCCAAGTAATTTAAACCAGATTACAATACTCATTACTATTTAAGAAATAATTCTTGTGTCTGTGTTACAACAAATACATGAACAGCATTGAGAAAATATCCAATAGCAAGGGTCTTAAATAGCCAGAGGGCCTTAAAAATCAATTGGCTTAGCCTAGAGCTAGTGGCTCATGTTTTAATCCTAGCTACTCAGGAGGCTGAGGTCTGAGGATTGCAGTATCGAAACCAGTCCAGGCAGAAAAGACCTTGAGACTCATATCTCCAATTAACCACCAAAAAGCCAGAAATGAAGGCATGGCTCAAGTGGTAGAGCATCAGTTTTGAATTAAAAAAACTATGTCTTAGTCCCTGAATACAAGCTCCAGTAACAGCACAAAACAAACAGATAAATAAATTTCACTGGCTCAAGTCTCTATTGATATGGCAGATCCACAGTGGTCCAGGAAACAAAGTAACCATCTCAGATCCCATTGCTGAAATCAGAAATGGATTCCAAGGTGTTCTCCTATCTCCCAGGACCCAGACTTTTCACAGATTACTTGGTTAATCAGAATCTAAATCAAAAGATAGTGCCCATTCATAACTAGTGCTTTCTGAAAAATGCTGAAAAAGAAAGAACAAAGAATTAGTAATTGTTCTCCGAAAGATAGAAGAGTTCAGTAGACCTATTTCCTCCATATCTACAAAATACATTTATTGAAAGTCAACTAGGACACTGCACTAAGGCATAGTTCAAGAACTGATAGATATGAAAAAAGGCAAGTATCAGATATTTCTGTTTTCAAGTATTTTACATACATGAGGTAGAAGCCTATGAAATTGCTGGTACTTGAATTTTTAATTTAAAAAAGAGGGTGACTCAGTAACACCCCCTCCAGATTTGTTATCAAGAATGTCAATTTCTGGGCACCCGTATCTTATGCTAGTAATCCTAGCTACTCAGAAGGCTGAGATTTGAGGACTGAGGTTGAAAGTTAGCCTGAGCAAGAAAGTCTGCCTGAGCAAGAAAGTCCATGAGGGCTGGGAAGGTGGCTCAGTGGTAGAGCGCTTGCCTTGCATGCCTGAGGCCCTGGGTTCGATTCCTCAGCACCACATAAGCAAAAAGAAAAAAGCCAGAAGTGGTGCTGTGGCTCAAGTGGTAGAGTGCTAGCCTTGAGCTGAAGATCTGAGGGACAGCGCCCAGGCCCAGAGTTCAGGCCCCATGACCGGACCCCCCCCCCAAAAAAAAAGTCCACAAGACTATTATCTTTAAATAACCACTAAAAAAAAAAGAAAATGGAGCTGTGTCTCAAGTGGTAGAGCACCAGCCCTGAGCAAAAATGCTAAAGGATAGTGACCAGTGAGATTAATGGCCAAATTAAAAAATAAAAGTCAACTTGGCTGAGTGCTGGTGGTTAATGCCTATAATCCTAGCTACTCAGAAGACTGAGATCTGGAGATCCTGGTTCAAAGCCAGCCAGGGCAAGAAATTTCAGAAGATTCTTACCTCCAATTAACCAACAAAAAGCCAGAAATGGTTGAGAGAGAAGTAGCCTTTGGGATTTCTCATCTCAACTCCAGTGAGATCAAATTTCTAGCTTCCACATATGAGTGAAAACATGCTGCATTTATCTTCCTCCTCCTAGCTTACTTCACTTAACAGAGTGCTCATTAGAACCATCTGTGTTGTCCCAAATGACAGGGTTTTATCCTTTTATATGGCTAAATAAATGTTCAGTTGCTTCCATGCACCACAATTTCTTTTGATCATCCATCTATTCGTAGACCTCATCTGGGTCAATGGCATCTCACTCTCCTTAAATGCACTATGCCAAGTACCAACTGTCAGTTTGTGTGGTGCTTGAGTTTCCCTAGCCAAAGTAGGCAAATCTTCTGTTTACTATGCCTTGCTCTCCTCTGCTCCCCGAAGAGGACAGAAAGGGCAAATGCATATGCAATACTATCAATAAGAAGCTAAATATAATATTTCCTTTTCATTTAACCAAATTCTTCTTCTTCCTCCTCCTCCTCCTCCTCCTCCTCTTCCTCCTCCTCCTCCTCCTTCTCCTCCTCCTCCTCCTCCT